GGCCATAAAAGGAAGCCGAAGGGTCATGATCAGGGAGTAAAAAGGTAATTAACTGTTATTAAGCTCACTTTTTTATAGATCATATTTCACCACTCGCAAATTTGTGTTTTTTTACGGTATGATGTCAACTGGTACCTAATATGTTCACCCTTACGATGAAAAGTACCTGCAAATTTTCACCTTCATATTCGAATTATTTTTGGACAACTGTCTTACAGTTTGAGTGCTTCGTACGCCCCGAGAACTCTATTTCTACAACATTCGTAGTTCCAGTATAACTTTCTCACGCAGTAAGTTCAAATTAGACACTAGTCTTTCTAAATAAGCCTGTTAAGCTAATATCCGTATTCTCTATTTCAGTTAATCGATGAAGACATGTACCACGTGCATCTGCTGTATACTGCCATTTTACTCCAATTCTAACTGTTATATCTTACTTTTGAATAATAAAATTGCTATATGCAGCAAATACAGACTTATTTGTTTTGATGGAGGTAGGGGGTTCATGGGATTTTCAGCAGGACCGTATTAATATTCTCACTAAAGAGCTAAGCGAGTGCGTAAACCAGTGTAAGGTACCATACGGGGTGCATTTGAGTTACTAGTGTTCCATTAGTGCGGGTAGGGGCATTGCTTGCTTGTCATATGGCATTTGAATTAGAAGCTATAAGATAAGGCTCAGGTACGGTTAGGATGTGTAACGCGTGTCCATCCATCAGCTGCCGTGACAACCCATGGTGGTTAGAATAAGCTATGAGTGGACCTGAGTCTGTACGTCTCCCAAGAAAATGACGAAGATATGCACCAAATCACCTTATGAAGAGCACCTCCAATCACTTAACCTCTACCATTTAGAGTATAGACGTCTTAGAGGTGACCTAATGGCTTACACTAACCTTAACACTTCTGGACAACCCCTAAAACACCTACTTAAGCTTAGTCCCAGAAGCTAGAGACACAGCTAAGCAGAACGGACTGTAGACGCAACATCTACTCGTTAGAAGTTGTCAAATTCTGGAATCCGCTGCCCGCCGAGCTAGACCAAACGACTTAACAGGACTATTTCAGGAGGCAAGTGGATATATCCTTAAGGATTAATGAAAGTATCATACCATCATTTACCAATTTCTCTTTCCTCTTTTCTAGTTAACATACCTAGGTTCCTGCCTGGAGGTTTTGGTGACCCCCTGCTACTAGACACGGAAGCCTGTTAGGCGAAAGCTCCTTCCATTCCGTCCACAACCATTTGAACACATGAACTAGGTGCTGAGAGGCTCGCTTATCACAAGTTCCTTGCAACGATTAAGTAGATAAAACAAAGTAGCATTAGATTCAAAAATTTATTCAAGAACCTTCATTAAGAATCGAATATCAAACAAAGGTTTAAACCAAGTTTCCCTTTAAAAGTTGTATTGGTAATGTTAAGCTGCAGTTTTTGTTGTTTTTTTCCAAACGAAAGAGTAAAAGAAGTCAAAAAATACTGGAAGTGGTTGCGAGATTAAAATGGACGTCCAGCATCCCTTTTATAATCTGCTGTTCGTTGGGTCTCCCGTAAACAGTTCCATAGGGCCATAGTTCCAAGGACGAAACAGTTTTTAGGGTCTGTGAATGCTCACTCCTGTTGCATTCTAAATGAAGAAGATAGTGATGAATTTAGTCAGAAATGTGGAATAGATAAATAACCAAATTACATGTTTTTTAGCCAGCGCTCGTTTTTGTACTTGTCGTGATTATACTTGCTTTGGGTACTTATTGCACTAAAAAGCATTCTTGGTCTACTTTAACTAAAAGTACTTTGGTTAAAGTTTGAAATTTTTTGCTAAATTTTGTCCTGAGTACCTTTTTTTACTCCTTGACTAACACTTGTGTTCACATTGTGATCATTTTGTGTTTTTAAACCTTTTAAATCGAATTAAAATGGTTGGTAAGACTCACAAATGTGGGCAACCAAATTGTTTGTTCTCCGTTGAGGAGGGAATGCAGAGTGATGACCGTAAAAAGTGGTACCACAAAATGTGTACACGCCTAAGTCCGACGGCTTACAAAAGATGCTCGAAGCCTAACTCACATTGGCTTTGTATGTTCTGCTGTACGGATAAAAAGGTACTAATTCAGGAGGCTATGGGCCTATTGACTTTGGCCTGCAAGAAGAACGATGGCGGAAGCAATGATAACAAGAGCACTGACGGAGAAGAATGTGTCAGTGTAGTAAGTGCTGCTACAGGACCCGTTAAACACCAGACTGTGGTTGACGGGAACGTAAAATCTCCGTTGACATTAACGAGGAATGAAGTGCCGCTTAATATTGACATCGGCAGTCATACACCTCTAGTCAAAATAGGAGATCCGGATAAAACTGTCACCGTTTCACTTAGTCCAGGTGTGGCTGTCCTGAGTAGTGACAAATGGACTTCAGTAAGGAGAAAAAGAAATGGGAAGAAAAAGACTGTAGGCAAAACGCAGCTGGTCAGCAAGGCATTGGAAAGGATGCTATCAGAAGAAAAATCCTCACTGCGTGGCAAGACAGATCTCTCTGAGAGATCAGTCATTTTTCATGAGATAAGAGAATCTTCAGATAAAGAACCAAAGGTGAGATTTGAACACGATCTCAATCATATTAAGACATCATTAAGTAAACTACTCCCAGATACAGTTTCAGGAGTTAGTATTTGTAAGCTTTATAGAATAGGAAAAAAGGTGGATTCCGAAAGTCCTCAGAAAAACCGCCTCCTGAAGGTTACACTCAACACGGTGGAAGAAAGGAACCTGATTCTAAGTAATTCACGTAAACTGATAGGATCCGGAATATATGTCCGTGAGGATCTCAGCCTAGCAGATCGTATTAAGAGACGAGCTGCAGAAGCGGAAATAAATGAACGTCGCCAAAACGGGGAACGAAACCTTGTTTTTAAGGGTTTTCAAGTTGTAAAAGTTCGGAGCAAAACGATCCCCAAGCCACTCTGGGTGGCAAGGGAAAGCTCTCCACAGACGTAAAGGTATGCTACACAAATGCTCGCAGCCTACTAAATAAAATGGCGGAGCTCAAGTCAGTGGTGAATAAAGAAAAACCGGACGTTATTGCTGTCTCGGAAACTTGGTTAACGTCAGAAGTATTAGATAGTGAAATCCAGTTGACTGGTTTCATAACCAGTAGGGCTGATAGATTAAACCGTAGGGGATGCGGGGTTATTCTGTACACGAAAAGTACCCTAACCATAAGTAAACTTACAAACAGGGTAAGTGTCTGTTAAACTAATTGTCCCAGTTGCCTAAACGATTCTTATCATTTTTCCACAGCCAGCTGCATTTAATTAAAACACAAAACGCTCATCTTCTAAGACTGTATACCGGTGTTTTTAGGGCAACTAAAAGCTCAGACACTTAGCTATCTTGCTACCGATGTTATTGCTGGGGAAATTGTTTAATGACAGTGATCATGATATATGGTCAGTGATAGATGTACAGTTTTGAAATAAACACCAAACAACTTATCGCTATAATGTATGACAGCAACAGCATCAAAGGCACGTTTTTTCTTAATCAGACTGATCTGAATCGGTATATACATTAGAAACAGGCAATTCTACTTACTAAACTGATCGTTACAGGCTTCAAGCACTATACTTAAGTATGTCATAATTCTTCCAACTAAACTGAATTATACGACAACCAAGAACACTAAACTAAGCAAGTGTCATAGTTATTGCTTCATTTGCACAGACATGTTGCTCAAAGTAGTTTGTAGCGTGGTATCGAGTCGAAATTGACTATGAACACCGCTACCAAGAAACACGTGCCAAATAGATCAGAAGGCGTAAGAAGCTCGTTAAAATGACTCCATAAAATCCCCGAGAAGCCGAATACCAGAAGGCAATTAATGGACCAAGTCGAGGTTTATATTTGCTGGCGATCTCGTGGCATCGAAAGGATACCGCGATCGTGCCAGGATACAAGCTTGGTTACAGAACGTAACCGAATTCGCGCGAAGTTACAGTCGAAGTGTAAGTATAAGAATGGAAGCACAAAATAGCTGTCATTAGCACAGTCAAACAAAAGCACATTAAAACAGTCACTGGTACACTTGGTTATAATAATAAGCGTTTTTATTAAACCAGTCGTGTTCTCGTGGTAAATGTGAGTCACTACAAGTTAAATGGACATAATTAAGCCGATAAAACCAAAACACGAAATATAGGCCAGTTGAACTTACCTAAGAAAAAAAGAAGGATACATATATACTGCTTTCGTACTGAAGACAACAGTCAGTTGTCCATAGAAACATAGCTTACAGTAGAAAAAACCTTTCTTCAGTAAAATCATGCACTGACAGTCTATCTGGAAACAATCAGCTATGTGAATAAACTCACTATGACTTGAGATATCAACCCAGCGTGCAATGGACGTACAGTGTAACGCAGTCGGACGTGGCGAATAAAAATTAAAAACAGAGCAAAATTAACTGCATAATCTAGTTATTTAACTAAAAATACATTGTGAAATGACAAAATCTGTGGTTACTTGAACACACAGATGACCCTGGGCGATACATTAAGTTTACATGGTTGCGTTGCGGATAAGTTCACCCTGTACCTCCCTGATAAGAATCAAATGGAATGTGATATTTCCGCAAATTTTCTGGTGTTTGATGCCATCTAAATTAGAATTTGGCTGGGTCGCTCTAAATAGTGATTATCGCTAGTTGAACGATGTGTTGCATAGACGATCAGTCTGTAGAATAGTGCGTGATTATCTTCAATCATATTACTTACTTGCCCGGCTACAATTGGCCCTCCAACAAAATTAATCGGCAGATGTGTTTAAAAAAGTATTACACAACAGCAAACAGCTTAAGGTTTGCACTAAAAGAGAAAGAAAAGTTGATGTTAGTAACTATTTTAAGGTCTTCAGACGATGACACTCCACTTTATAATGTGAACTTCAGAGAACCATGCTAGCCTACACGCAGTCAACCTATCTCATTCGCTTCAAATATGGATTCCCGCCGTTCTTCAAGTCGTTCAAGGTTGTAAAAGGAAAGCGCGGTCGGGTTTGAAAGTCAGTCACTTTTTTTCAACATAATAAACACGGTAAGATAGAAACGACTTTTGATTTAAAAATTGTTGGTCCATTGGTTAATCGTATCGACACTTCTATTTGAGTAGTATCAGCTGGCTGGAATTTAATTAGGTCAGAGTTCATATGCATCTCATCGGGGGAATTACTCCGACGGCTGGAATTGTGCAATTCCAGCTAACTGATCAAGTTGCTCGTTACAACTAACTCCTATTCTGAATCGTAACGGATTCTTAATGCCATACCAGTACATCTGGCCGTAATTATCAGGTTGCCTTAGTCATACTTCACCATTGTTTGTTGTCGATCACTTTCATTACAAATGCATTGTGTTGATTTAGTCGTTCCCTCTCTTTTCTTGTTCTTTCCTCGTTCACACTCCCCTAGCACTTAAGTGCATTCAGGATGAACTCATACCGCCACAGCTAACTTTTATTCAGTGCCCTGTAGTTATTTTTTGTGCTTCACTTGTATTTATTTCTATCTTATTATTTTTCGAGTCAGTGTACACTAACCTAGTGTAATAGTTCTTGTCGTCATTTCCATTAATATCCACTAAAATGGATAGTTCACAGTTGTCAATTTGTAATTAATCTCCCAAAGTTAAACAAAGTTCTTATCTTGTTCAGTGCTCCGTAAGCATCATTGATAGACTGTAATTGAATCATTTCAATTAATGTTATATTTTAAGATCTTTGGATTAACCTTGCATGTATTTTACGATTCGCGTACAAGGTGACCTAGGATAGTTAGCATGATTTATTACACTCACATTTGTCGTCTAAAACATTTTAGATGTATGAACCAATGTTGCAGTTTTAGTTTTAAGTGGGTCAAGAAAAAATGACTTTAGACTTGATCCTTCTTTTCTCCTAGTTGGGTTAGGAAAACTCATGAGAGAAGGCTAGTTCATAAGCCAGCAACGGACAAAACACCTCTGGCATATAAGTTTTCTCACCAAGTAACTGACTCCTAGAACCTATTACTAGAAGAATTAGTGTCCAGACCTCAATTAGTTCATTCACAGAACCCTTCTAGGACAGGACCAGTACGTGCTCTCGGCATTCTTTTAAGATAAATAATTCAAGTCTTGGTGATTTATTTATGGACAGACGTGTTTACATAATGTTCATTGGCTCTTTGAAGTATCTGTGATTCATCACACAAGGTCATATCCATCTAGTAACCGAAATTACTATATTGGACTTTGTCGAAAGTCTGAATTATTTAAAAATACGGTGATTATACGGATATCTGTCGGTGTACATCAGGCTGTCCACAAGATTGAATGTAAATCATCTAAACCTGTTATTTTTAGGTTTACACGTTAACCTTTAAACATGGTGTGAATTCGTTCAAACTCCGCCTAACACTATGTCAACCTTTATTTGAGGTCTTAGCGTAGATATTTTTACGATGAGAACACCCTGAAACTATAATTTGTCATGTAACAGGTGTCAAAAGATATACCCTCCAGTTTGCAACTACTTTTGCGGTATTTTTAAAACGGATAAATGTCGCTGGACATACCTTAGGCTCTCTTTTCATTCGGCTATCGTCGTGCACCATAAATTTGAGGCCCTTCAATGTCCGTCGACTAATTTTACTTAACCGTAGTTTATTTTTATGGTCTCTGGATATGGTTTATAATTATGTATGGGCTGTTTGGTGCATAATTTCACGTAGGCAGTCATCCATGCAAATCAAGCAAAATGATTGACACCGATCAAGTAGTCAACCGGAAATGCTCAACGTAAAACCTGGCACATACATACATTAGTTCAAGTTACTATATCCTGTTAGCGCAGCAACATGAATTTGTTAGAACAAATCTCAGAGTAGGAAGTGTAGCAACAATATTAGTGGTAACAGAAAAGATTAAGCATTGAAGATACAATTTGAGGCTTCATATTTATCAAAGGGGTTGTTATTAAAATCTTTGGAGCTAGTGAGATTTTCTGAAAAATATGGGTAATCATCCACTATCAGTCCAGAAGGTTGAGACGATAGGCAGAACACCATGAGAACAGTTTAACTTTCCTCTAGTTGGCTACTTTTACTAAGGAGCCTGGATGGAATATCGACATAAACCTCTCAACTCTTAATGAAGTAGAGAAAACCATAGCTAATCTAAAACGAGGGAGTTTAATTCATTTTGATTATAGTCAAAATATGTTACAAAAATAAGTTTAATCTTATCAAAGGTACATTCGCATAAGTTGAAAACCTTAAACTACTTTATGGAAGAAATAAGCTACCTATCTAGATGAATCACTCTGATTTTAACTATTTGATATTTTATTTTGAACATAATAGAGCACTTGTTTGCGTCGGCGGTTCAGTAGTAAAATGCTCGCCTGCCACACTGGTAGTCGGGGTTCAACTCCCCAAATGTCCTGGCACGGCCGAGGGTGAGGAGAGTCCACTCTCCCTCTCGAAATGCTTTTACATGGCCACGCGTATACACTGACTGCCAGGGAAATCCTACTCACTGCCTTCTCGTGGCGGGGGTGTTGTTTACGAAATTGAGAGGAAGAAAAGCGAATGTCTGGCGCTTTAACCGGGTTGGTGGATATGGAAGACTCATATAGGGTAGTTGGTAAACCCTGATTCCAAACCAATGGTGCACATGGGCTGCAGGATCCCAGGGGAACAAATGGCGTATGAACCTATTGTTGGTTACCGGCTACTATGAGAGTGCATCTCCTAACGTTGCTCCACTGCCTTGTGAATCAGATGTTTAGGTCGAAGACTCCGGTTGTGGCCCCCTAGAAAAACCACCTGCTTCGGTTTGGGCACCCGAACAGTATCACAGCCCACAGACAAATCAAGTGACTTGTGTGACGCATATGTATTTGATGCCCCTTTATACCAATATTTATGTTTTCAAACAGATAAACTTAATGTTTTATTTTCATCGGCTAGTTTCTCCTTTGAATCAGACACGCGTTTTGTTATTTTATTTCGCGTTATTCTCGTCTTGTTTCGACTACTCATTGTTCATTTCATGCGCCGGCTGAAAATGCATTTTAGATGTATTCACTTAGTGTTAGTCAGTGCAGGAGCTGACGTATGTACTAGTGTAAGTTGTAACAGCATTCCGTAATGGGAAAGGAGAAATGAACAAAATGGAAATTCAGGAGGGGAATTAACACAGTACAATTATGATGATATTAGATTCAATATTTAGAGTCGGAGAGGATAAATGTAACTGGATCAATTTCTGGCCATATCACCCTCTTTATATTCAGTATGATTAGTAACATGCTATAAGTTGTCAATGACCGTAGACTTCAAGATGAATTAGAGATTGTTTGTATACTATATGTTGGATTTGTGTGATTACCAAATATAATTCATGGAAAAGGGAAATCAATGTCGACTAAGATGAGTTCGCGTTATATATACAATCGGTTAACCTAAATGTATTTCTGAAATAATGTACTGCAGATTATCAGTCAAAAGCTTCAATCACTAAATTCTAGGTAGAGGAATAGGAAACAAGACGATAGTATTTTCGTTCACTGTCTTGTAATTGTAAAATATTAGCATAGTGCCTAAACGTATCATCATAGCATATATATTTTCATATTATTACATTATTAATCCATAAATTTATTTCTGTTTAAATCAAATTTATAATTTATAAAAATTTGTTCAACACCATTAATCCATACCAGTTTAAAGTTGGCATGGTGTCAATGACAAATTAGAAGAGATCAAATTGTTTTTTTTATTGATTGAAATCATGAACCGATTGATGTTTAGACCACTGTTGGAAACCTGGAAGCACTGAATGACCGTTTCGTCCTATTGTAAGACTCCTACATAGTGTACATCCACGTTTTACGTATTCCCGACTACCTCGACGTGCGATGTTCAGTGGTATAGGAGTAGGTTGGAAGAAAGCTAGGGGCGGCCAGACCAAAACATGGCACAAATCCATGAAGTCACTGACAAGTGGACTGAGTCATGTTGGTAAGTGTAGACTACCTGGTTGGGGACCGCGACATGATAGCAACCGGTGGTTAGAGACCCTGAATGACATGGCTCAAATCGTTTGCAATGGCGCAGGTGCATCCACTCTTTGTGTTCTCCCAAATTTTAATCTCCTGAATCCTCCTTGTCTCCTTTTTTCTCTTCCCAAATATATTTCACTGTATTATACTCTTTAAATAACATCTCCAAACCCTAATCTTCCCGATTACTGCTTATATTCTTGCTACCTCTACCACTATGAGATTTGAATCGACAACTGCATCTGTGTGCTAATGTGGTTGTTAAGTTTGTTTTACATTGTTCCTGCTCATTCCCTTTCTACTCTTCTGTATATTGTTTTATACTACTCATTTACATTCAGTAAGCAGTCGTATTCCTAACAATTTTCAAACTTACATTGTAACGCGAGTTGTTCTGTAATATTCCGAATTGTTCACATATACTTATAACGTTTATTGTACTTATCATTGTATTTATCATTATAATTACTGTATCTTAATCACTGTGGCCGTTATCCACAGTTTTGTGCATTTGTTTAAACGCAACAGTTTTGATATTGCTTTGCCCTCGGTTCAAGTTTCGATTGCTCATAAACTGTTATCCAATTTAGACACAGCTATCGGCTGTCTTTGTACTATCGAAGCCTTTGTTATTTTCATTCTTGAAGGACGCGTTTAAACGCCTAGACACCTCAAAAGTTGAGAACTGTTGATTCTATCGAAGCGTCCAAGTAACCCCGATTGAGATACGCGCAAAATCGAAGTTCCAAAACAACGATTTGTCTACAAAAGCGTAAGGTTGTTGGGGCTTTCCGATACGTTGATCGAGAACCCAGTGGGCTTGTGGAACGTCAACTCCAATTAACAATCCTACTCTGTCGCATGTAATAGTAGGTAGCCGTACACCTTTCAAATGTTTCCATCTTTTCTGAAGTCGGTCGGTGGCATTTCTGCTTTTTTAACAGGTAGGTTATAGATAGTGTATGCACCTTCTATCCTTAGCTTTGTAGCTCCCACTTGCTAACTGTCCGTAAGTGTTCGTGGCGATTGACACTCTCCTTTCTAAAAATTGCAACAAATCATTATCCCTTCAGTTTCTAAGGTGAATTCACCTATTTCTTTAAATCTTGCTCTTGATAATGTTAAACTTAACTCCAAAGACAGTTGTTCTGTAGGAGACAACTATGTAGAGACTAGATACAGCATAGAAGACGGAGTAGTTTCTAGGGAAAAGGAAGTAGAAAAGATTGAGCTGGAGATTAGAGAACTTCAACTCCGTGTTGTAACGGGTGTGACTGTAGGGTTTGATACGCAGCGTTACTATCGATCGCTTCTGTGACAGTGACACGTAAACACGTAAGGACGACCTAGTGCCCTGATTGGCCCTGCTTCGCTGTCTGTCCCAGCCAGTTGAGTCAAGAACACAAGCCACAGCCTCGGAGTTATGAATCATTATATTTCAAACATACTTTGTTTATATACCAATCAAGCATACCACATCGTACCATAAAATAGAGACAAACATTTACAAAATATTTAACAAGTGAAGTAAACATCGACCAATAAGAAATGTACATTTAAGGTCCAAGGCCACCGTAGACTTAACACAATAATTATTGGTATATTTTCCCGACTATCCTAACACCTCCCCTTTTTTCGAATGATCCGGAGTTCATATCTGCATTTTAAAATTTTCTGGGTTCATCCTCCCCCACGAAATAATGTTGGGTCCTCATATCCCCAAGTTAAAATTAATTTGACTTTATTTAACACATGATGGTCACATGGAACAGAGAAGTCACTAAAAGTGATTAAGTAGTGTGGACCAACGTCGCTTGATATGAGGTCATCAACCTTTGATTCTTCTGGAACATTACCATAGAATTCCTTGAAAATCTCATTTGTGGATAGTCGATCACTGGGATAATTAACATCTATCAAAATTGTATTCAACTTCTGACCATCATTTGTGGCATCTAACACATTTTCTGGTACAAGAGGATCCAGATAATAAGATTCATCAGAGTCTCCTGTTGTTGACTGATGAGGACCGTTCGGAGCAGCTAGACTCAGTATACTGCACGATTTGTTTCCTGTTTCCTTGTGAGAGGGCACTGTAATTAATTTATGAGCATTTAATGAGAGATCTTCCTGTGAGCTGGGTACATCACTGTCTGTACACGTTTCAGGAACAGTGGGATTTGAACCCACAACAGGGCATGATTCTGAACTGGACATTTCCGCATCGCTGGACGGTTTATGAGCGACTGCCTCGTATGCATTACTGATCATAAGGGATTCATAGAGGCTTTTGTTTACATCTTCATATGTCCTGCAGTCATTCTCGAGTTCAGTATGTAAGTGAGAAATTAATTCGTCAATCTCTTTCACATCTCCGAAAAATGGGAGATTTAGCAGTCGCGTGCGCACGCACTGTTCCTGAAACGTGTACAGACAGTGATGTACCCAGCTCACAGGAAGATCTCTCATTAAATGCTCATAAATTAATTACAGTGCCCTCTCACAAGGAAACAGGAAACAAATCGTGCAGTATACTGAGTCTAGCTGCTCCGAACGGTCCTCATCAGTCAACAACAGGAGACTCTGATGAATCTTATTATCTGGATCCTCTTGTACCAGAAAATGTGTTAGATGCCACAAATGATGGTCAGAAGTTGAATACAATTTTGATAGATGTTAATTATCCCAGTGATCGACTATCCACAAATGAGATTTTCAAGGAATTCTATGGTAATGTTCCAGAAGAATCAAAGGTTGATGACCTCATATCAAGCGACGTTGGTCCACACTACTTAATCACTTTTAGTGACTTCTCTGTTCCATGTGACCATCATGTGTTAAATAAAGTCAAATTAATTTTAACTTGGGGATATGAGGACCCAACATTATTTCGTGGGGGAGGATGAACCCAGAAAATTTTAAAATGCAGATATGAACTCCGGATCATTCGAAAAAAGGGGAGGTGTTAGGATAGTCGGGAAAATATACCAATAATTATTGTGTTAAGTCTACGGTGGCCTTGGACCTTAAATGTACATTTCTTATTGGTCGATGTTTACTTCACTTGTTAAATATTTTGTAAATGTTGTTCTCTATTTTATGGTACGATGTGGTATGCTTGATTGGTATATAAACAAAGTATGTTTGAAATATAATGATTCATAACTCCGAGGCTGTGGCTTGTGTTCTTGACTCAACTGGCTGGGACAGACAGCGAAGCAGGGCCAATCAGGGCACTAGGTCGTCCTTACGTGTTTACGTGTCACTGTCACAGAAGCGATCGATAGTAACGCTGCGTATCAAACCCTACAGTCACACCCGTTACAACACGGAGTTGAAGTTCTCTAATCTCCAGCTCAATCTTTTCTACTTCCTTTTCCCTAGAAACTACTCCGTCTTCTATGCTGTATCTAGTCTCTACATAGTTGTCTCCTACAGAACAACTGTCTTTGGAGTTAAGTTTAACATTATCAAGAGCAAGATTTAAAGAAATAGGTGAATTCACCTTAGAAACTGAAGGGATAATGATTTGTTGCAATTTTTAGAAAGGAGAGTGTCAATCGCCACGAACACTTACGGACAGTTAGCAAGTGGGAGCTACAAAGCTAAGGATAGAAGGTGCATACACTATCTATAACCTACCTGTTAAAAAGCAGAAATGCCACCGACCGACTTCCAGAAAAGATGGAAACATTTGAAAGGTGTACGGCTACCTACTATTACATGCGACAGAGTAGGATTGTTAATTGGAGTTGACGTTCCACAAGCCCACTGGGTTCTCGATCAACGTATCGGAAAGCCCCAACAACCTTACGCTTTTGTAGACAAATCGTTGTTTTGGAACTTCGATTTTGCGCGTATCTCAATCGGGGTTACTTGGACGCTTCGATAGAATCAACAGTTCTCAACTTTTGAGGTGTCTAGGCGTTTAAACGCGTCCTTCAAGAATGAAAATAACAAAGGCTTCGATAGTACAAAGACAGCCGATAGCTGTGTCTAAATTGGATAACAGTTTATGAGCAATCGAAACTTGAACCGAGGGCAAAGCAATATCAAAACTGTTGCGTTTAAACAAATGCACAAAACTGTGGATAACGGCCACAGTGATTAAGATACAGTAATTATAATGATAAATACAATGATAAGTACAATAAACGTTATAAGTATATGTGAACAATTCGGAATATTACAGAACAACTCGCGTTACAATGTAAGTTTGAAAATTGTTAGGAATACGACTGCTTACTGAATGTAAATGAGTAGTATAAAACAATATACAGAAGAGTAGAAAGGGAATGAGCAGGAACAATGTAAAACAAACTTAACAACCACATTAGCACACAGATGCAGTTGTCGATTCAAATCTCATAGTGGTAGAGGTAGCAAGAATATAAGCAGTAATCGGGAAGATTAGGGTTTGGAGATGTTATTTAAAGAGTATAATACAGTGAAATATATTTGGGAAGAGAAAAAAGGAGACAAGGAGGATTCAGGAGATTAAAATTTGGGAGAACACAAAGAGTGGATGCACCTGCGCCATTGCAAACGATTTTGAGCCATGTCATTCAGGGTCTCTAACCACCGGTTGCTATCATGTCGCGGTCCCCAACCAGGTAGTCTACACTTACCAACATGACTCAGTCCACTTGTCAGTGACTTCATGGATTTGTGCCATGTTTTGGTCTGGCCGCCCTAGCTTTCTTCCAACCTACTCCTATACCACTGAACATCGCACGTCGAGGTAGTCGGGAATACGTAACACGTGGATGTACACTATGTAGGAGTCTTACAATAGGACGAAACGGTCATTCAGTGCTTCCAGGTTTCCAACAGTGGTCTAAACATCAATCGGTTCATGATTTCAATCAATAAAAAAAACAATTTGATCTCTTCTAATTTGTCATTGACACCATGCCAACTGTAAACTTGTATGGAATAATGTGCGTACGTACAAACTTCTACGTTGTCACTAACTGACTGACAACCACGATCCTGTTCGTGGATTGGAACCATGGGCCTTTAGTTTTACACGTGAACTCTTAACCGCTAAGCCAGCATTCAATAGTGTTAGTGTTTTACATCAATTCTTTTTTAATTTTTTTTTTCAACTGATCATTTATCACTTCTTCTTTCTTTTCTTTTTTCTTAAATAAGAAATTATGAAAAAGAAAAGATCTGTTGCTACCGAATTAGTTCAACGTGCATCATCTATATTACCAGCATTTACTGATATATTTGATGAAGAAACATTTTATATATTTTTTATTTGCCTTGTTATTTTATCATTTATTATAGCATTTAGTATAGCTAAATATTTTGATGTAACAATTAAAGATGCAGATTATTTAAAATTAACTAAACGACAAAAATTCAAACGACACTATTCAATGAATCAACAAAAAGAAAAAAAACAACAAAGAAGCTTATTGATTTGTTTTCTTTAAACTTTATTATTATTGTTTTTCTTTTTGTTGTTTATTTTATCATTATTACTTTAGAAAGAACAAAAAAAAACAAATATCTCCCACACCCCAACCTCACCCTACCCCCCCCCCGCAACTAATAGATAATGATAGTTAAAGTCAATGATGTACTTTACTTTCATCAAAATATACAAGGTATTATGTTTGTTTGTTTGTTTGTTTGTTTCCATGAGTTGTATTGTATATTTATTCTAGTTAATTGAATACTCTTTCTTTATTGAATGTTATTCCTTTCATATTTGTGCAATATCTCCATGTATTCTGTCTATTCAATGTGAATTCATTTCGTTTATTCTTATTGGCAATGAATTTATATATTGCTTCAAGTTTACTATGATCTAATATTAGTAATTAGATTGATCTGATCATGTTGTTATGCAAGAATTAAACATTCGTTCATTTACATAAATAAGAAATGAGTATGATTGTTTTGTTTTGTTTTAAATATGAAAAGAAATACATATGATCCTTATGCTCTAATTATCAATCACGTATATATATTGTTTTATCATATTTATCCTGTATATAAAGACATTATTCAAGCAGAAGAAAATGTTTATCATTTTAGTTGGTGGTCTTATCTTCTAGCATCGGTTGGATTAAGAGCAGGGGGGGGCACCAGATATATATATCCACCACATAATAATAATGAGAATAGGAAGAGATAAAGAATATAAGGTGTGTATAAAAAGAAAAAAAAAGAGAACAATAACGACCACAAATTAGTGTATGGTAGTGAAATAATAACAATGATGGGGGAAACGGAAAGGTACAGTCAGAAAGAATTCTTTTACTTAAAGAAGTTACCAACACTTTTTATGAAGAAAGTTATAGCAGCATCGCCAGTGGCTTCTATTCTAAGGCATATCTGATAACGTCTCTAGCCACTGTGTTACACTATCTCTGAGACCCCAACCAAGGAGTCGTGAATGATCAATAGATGCCAGTTCTGTACAGCATTCTTTCATACCACAACACTATTTCATACACTGACCACTTCTCCGCTTTTTTCAACTGTTATGTCCGAGTGGAGATTAAATTACAGGTAACTCCCGAGGACTATTAATGGACTAATATTCTATAAATATTCTTATTGTATAATTATTCAACAATTACATTACATATATTTATATTCCTCTTATTGTAAGCTTTATTTTGACCTATAACTTATTATTGTACGATTTACGGTTCTTAAGTTATGTTCAGCTTATTAACTACTGCCTCCCACATCCACAGCCACTTTTTGGGCTTATTTGTGTACAAATATTATTTCCTATTTTATGGTACGTTGAGGTCTGTGTGATTTATATATAAACTAAGTATGCCTGAAATAAACGATCTGCTCTGATTCGGAAGCTGGTATCTTGTTCTGGACTCAAGTGGAAGGGCTCGTAGGACATAGGACCAATAAGGACACTAAACTGCCCACACCGGTTAAACGTCATTGGTTGGCCTAGTGTGAAGATTCGTATAAGTCGTATTCGGATTGGTAGATAAGTCGTGTGACAGAAAAAACCAGACACCCAAGGTCATAACATCAACCAATCCCAGAGTCGGTGAATAATACACGACGAGGAATTCTCTGGGACGATGTTTGTCGAACATGTACAAGCCACCAAAGTCGATGTTTCAAGATAGTGACATCAATTGAATTATCGTCACTATGTCCGAACACACGATGCTCAACCTCTGCATTACTAACATGATGTTGCCACTGGATATCAGCAATCGTTCGGAGACAACGATGATCAAATACAGAGAATCGTCTAACATCCTTAACTTGGAGAGGCCAGGTTTCACAGGTATAGAGTAAAACTACTCTCACCAACGCTACTCTTATTGCTTAGTATTCTTGAACACTTTCACTCGATAAGTCCCCAAAAAAATAAACTGTGAAATAGGAATGTAATTATATTCCAAATAACAAGGTTGGGTGGAAGTAGAATCCACAATAATCTATATCCCGCTAACATCATTATCGACTTTAATTATAAGAATGTAAATATAATTCAAATAGATATCATCTTGGCTCATTTAATTAAAGGACTTGTATATATATATATATGGAATACTTGTTATATACTGTCTTATGTTGAGTGAAAACTATTGATGTAGTATCAGTTGGTATCTATGTCAGATGGCGATAATCGAAAAGGTTTATATTAATAAAAGGGCATTGAAAGGAAGAATAACATTTGATAGGGTATGAAATATGTTCAATTTACCCTTTATCCCTTTATTTATATGACCTATCAAAAATGTAACTTTTTAAACTCTTAACAAAGAGTCTACCTGTTGGGGATGTTACATCCCCAGAACTCACTTGGTAAATACCTTATTTTTGTAATTTTATTTTGAATTTCCTTGTTTTCGCGCCGAAAGCACTCTCTTCACCTTTATGTCGTATTTCCTATTCGGAAGAATCTTAAACGCTATTGGTTCGTTGTATCTTTTAGTATGCTGTTTTTTAACACTTCCCAAGGACAATTTTATGCGGTATATATACGTTTGATTTGTGCCTGTTGTGATCGCTCATACTTCTGGCTTTTTGCAGAATATATTTCCCCGTTTCGAACTTGGACTTCTCTCTCTAGTTAGCGGGGCTGAGACGCATCAAAATAGCTAGCTAGCTTATTTGATCTTTGGTCACAAGTCTTTGTTCCGTTCTCAGACTAGGTGAACTCGTAATCGTTTCAAATATAGCAATACCCTTAACAAATATTTTAATTTCTTGAGTTCGGTAACAATCTGTTATCCTTATTACTATAATCATGTTATTTCGTATATCTATTTTGAACAGATAGAGGATAATTTATTTAGTGGGATGTTTCAAAAGTGCCTGATGAATTTTACGTAATGAAAGTAATCTATGATGTCATTGAATAAGGATTAGAACAATTCAGCGAAGAAGATTTTATTTTCGACAATTACTTACTTACTTACTTACGCCTGTTACTCCTCGTGAAGGAGCATAGGCCACTCACCAGCATTCTCCATCCAACCCTGTCCTGGGCAATCCTTTCTAGCTCCGTCCAGTTGTAATTCATCCTTTTCATATCTGCTTCTATAATCCGACGCAATGTGTTCTTTGGCCTTCCTCTTTTTCGCTTCCCTTCAGGGTTCCAAGTTAGGGCTTGCCTCGTGATGCAGTTTGAAGGTTTGCGTAATGTATGTCCTATCCATTTCCATCGTCTTTTCCTAATTTCTTCTTCAGCTGGAAGTTGGTTTGTTCTCTCCCACAGAAGGCTATTGCTGATGGTATCCGGCCAATGGATGTTGAGTATCTTGCGTAGGCAGCTATTTATAAATACTTGTACTTTCTTGATGGTGGTTGTTGTAGTTCTCCAAGTTTCAGCTCCATACAGTAGAACTGCCTTGACGTTCGTATTGAAGATTCTCACTTTGATATTGGTTGAAAGTTGTTTTGAGTTCCATATGTTCTTCAATTGTAGGAATGCGACCCTTGCTTTGCCGATCCTCGCCTTTACGTCTGCATCTGAACCTCCTTGTTCATCGATGATGCTTCCTAGGTATGTGAAGGACTCTACATCTTCCAGAGTTTCGCCATCAAGAGTGATTGGATTGCTGTTCTGCGTGTTGAATTTGAGGACCTTGGTTTTCCCTTTGTGTATGCTGAGGCCTACTGATGCAGAGACTGCTGCTACACTGGCTGTCTTCATCTGCATCTGTTCGTGTGTACGTGATAGGAGGGCTAGGTCGTCTGCGAAGTCCAAATCGTCTAATTGATTCTGAGTTGTCCATTGTATTCCGTGTTTTCCTTCAGATATTGAGGTCTTCATAATCCAGTCGACCACCAGAAGAAAGAGGAAGGGAGAGAGTAAACAGCCTTGTCTGACTCCAGTCCTTACTTGGAATGCATCTGTCAGCTGTCCTCCATGCACTACTTTGCACTGTAGTCCGTCGTATGAGTTCCGGATAATGTTGACAATCTTCTCAGGAACTCCGTAGTGTCGAAGAAGTTTCCATAATGTCCTCCTATCTACACTGTCGAATGCCTTTTCATAATCAATGAAGTTGATGTATAGTGATGAGTTCCACTCCACTGATTGTTCGACGATGATCCGTAGTGTTGCAATTTGGTCTGTGCACGACCGATCCTTACGGAATCCAGCTTGTTGATCTCGAAGTTGGGCGTCTACTGCATCCTTCATCCGGTTCAGCAACACTCTGTTGAAGACTTTCCCTGGTATTGACAGTAGTGTAATGCCTCTGTAGTTTTCACATTTGCTCAGATCTCCTTTCTTTGGAATCTTGACGAGGTGTCCTTCTTTCCAGTCCATTGGCACTTGTTCCTCCTCCCAAATCTTTTTGAATAGAAGGTACAGCATGCTTGTGGTTGCTTCGATGTCTGATTTCAGTGCTTCAGCTGGTATGTTGTCGGGTCCTGCTGCTTTCCCGTTCTTGATTTGTCTGACGGCCATTCTAATTTCTTCCGTCGTTGGTGGGTTGACATCTATAGGAAGATCTATGTGTGCTGCTTCGATGTCCGGTGGATTCATTGGAGCCGGCCTATTCAGGAGTTCCTCGAAGTATTCCACCCATCTGTTACGCTGTTGTTGAATTTCGGTGATTGGCTTGCCTTCTTTGTCTTTGACCGGCCTCTCTGGTTTACTGTATTTCCCTGCTAGTTTCTTCGTTGTATCGTAAAGCTGTTTCATATTTCCTTCTCTAGCAGCTTTTTCTGCCGTCGTTGCTAGTTCTTCCACGTATTTCTTCTTGTCGGCTCTAATGCTCCTCTTCACTTGTTTGTTTGCTTCTATGTATTCAGCTTGTGCTTGACTTTCTCTGCTCGTGTTCGGCTGTTGTTAATTGCTGCCTTCTTGTTCTTCCTTTCTTTGATCTTGTCCAGTGTTTCTATAGAGATCCATTCCTTATGATGGTGTTTCTTTAGGCCCAGAACCTCTTGACACGTTGAAGTTAATGCTTCCTTGATGCCTTTCCAGTTGTCCTCCATACTAGTTTCTTCTTCTTTCAGTAGATCTTGTAAGGCTTGGAACCTGTTGTTGAGAGCTATCTTGAATTCATTGAGTTTGTCAGTATCTCGAAGGAAGGCTGTATTGAACCTTTGTAGTGCTGTTTGTCCACTTGTCCAGTTCTTTTTTAGCTTCAGTTTTAAATTGGCTACAACTAGGTGGTGATCTGAAGCTACGTCAGCACCTCTCCTGGTTCTTACATCTTCCATTGTCCTTCGGAATTTTTTGTTGATGCAAATATGATCTATTTGGTTCTCTGTAGTGTGGTCCGGTGAGATCCATGTAGCCTTGTGTATACGCTTGTGTGGAAATATTGTGCCTCCTATGACCAATTTGTTGAATGCACATAGATTTGCAAATCTTTCTCCATTTTCGTTTCTCTGTCCCAGTCCATGTCGTCCCATGATATCTTCATATCCGGTGTTGTCTATTCCGACTTTGGCATTTAGATCTCCCATCAGAATAGTTAGGTCCTTTCTTGGCATTTCTCAATGATTGACTGTAGCCGCTCGTAGAACTGATCTTTAATGTCGTCGTTGCTATCATTGGTGGGTGCATAACATTGGATAATATTCATTAAGATCCCCTCCTTCTTTGTTTTGAATGATGCTTTGATGATTCTGGATCCGTGAGACTCCCATCCTACAAGTGCATTTCGTGCTACTTTGGACAGCATAAGAGCGACTCCCTGAGTGTGTGGAGCATTGTCCTCCTCGTGACCGGAGTATAGCAGCATCTCTCCCGTAGCTAGCCTTTTCTGTCCAGCTTGGGTCCAGTGGGTTTCGCTGATTCCCAGTACTGCTAAGTTGTATCTCCTCATTTCCATTGCTATTTGACTGGTCTTCCCGGTTTCCCACATTGTTCGAACGTTCCATGTACCTATAAAAATTTTTGCTCTGGTTGTTAGAAGGGGCATCGGCCTCGTGGCTTCCGAAGGAACTCGGCTTTCACCATGAAGCGTCATAATTCTTCTAACTGAAGACCTTCTAACTCCCAGGGCAGAGTTTAAATGGTTTGAATATTTTTTCTGGTAAGCGTTTTTTTAGCGAGTTAGTTTTCTACGGGATGGGGACGCTAACCCCATGCCCAACCCTCCTCCTTTACCCGGGCTTGGGACCGGCAGTAACCCTATTAGAGCTACAGGCGGAGTTATTTTCGACAATACTTTATTATTATACCTATTATTAACTTCATTCAATATCATATATTTTTGGTACAGTATAGAATACTCAACACAATGTATTCCAACAAGTTTCCGTTTCTTACTTCTTGATCAATCCTGACAATCAATATTGAGTGATCGCCAGTTAGAAGTTAGCAGTTCAGGAATCAACATCTGAATAATGTATATTCTTTTCACTATAAGTCGATTCACAATCACTTACATAGCTTATATTCACTGTCTTAAGAACTGATACTAGTTCTCTAGTGTAAACGCAATGATCCAGGTTGAAAACGATCAAATCATGGAAGATAAATCGTTATTGTTTTCCATGTTAGAAGCAGTTATCATCATTCCATTGAGATATTGGAGAAAAACATAAGTAAGTGGGTTTAAGATAATGTTCATTGAGAGCGCAACAGTAAATCAACCGCAAACATTAGTTATGGTTACATGAACATGGAACCAGAACTAGAGCTAAGTGAGGAAGTAAAATAAACAAAAATAGATAACTTGTTGAAATATCTAGATGACAGGAACAAGTAACCCAGATGTCCATACAGGCCGCCAAAATATGAATTTGAAATTTACATAAGTTAATTTGATCAAATTACTGATGTTTAGTTTTCGTCCTCTGTCCAATGTTTTCAGAATAACCAGAATCGTGGTTATACATTTCATATGATAGTATTGTTTCATTCAATCGTCTTCTCAATTA